ACTGGCTGTTACTCACTACACGAATTGTGAAATTAAGCTATGCGATATCTCCTTGGATGAACCTCCATATGTATATACAGTTCCAATTTCAACGATGCATCAATAATTAAAGCGGTTTTAGTATTATTAGTAATAGTATTATATTAGGTTTTTAGACTTTGTTTTCGCAACTTGGTCATATTGGCAGGAAGACCTAGAGGAATGCACCTTTTCTGGAGTCCATAGTATCCATGATGATTTCCAGAGTCGGACAGTGGACTTGGTACATTCCCAGACGTTTCGCCGGCTTTGTAGTCGGCATCATTAGGGAGTTTTGCCATTATCAGCACCAAGTTACAACTCCTCAAAGAAACAACTGAAGTTAAATTACCTTGACCAGCCTTCAGTCGAATTGGTTGAGCTATCACTCCTCGTTCTATCCTAGTCCATTTATCCAATTTATAGCCATCGAAATAAACCGAATGGGAAATATATTGAATGTAAGGAATACTGGTAAGAGAAAAGTAAAAATTACTTGTGCTTAATTGATAGACTGATTGAGTTGAGCCGCCTGCAAAAAGGAAGCGACGCAACTAGTCTTTCCTTATCTTGCTTCTAGTCATAGTCACTTCTCTGTACTTTTGACTCACTCTTTCTCTCTCGCATTGAGACCAAAAACGAAAAAAAGGCTCATCAACAAAACCAGACGTGCGTCCAACCTTGCGAAATCGGAGTGATGGTTAGAACATGTATGTAGAAAGGAGGAGATAGTGGGAATCAAACCTTGATGGGTAAGAACAGGAGTTACTTTTGCTGTCCTAATTACTTTGAGCCATCACTGCTGGTTTCCTGGATAAGCGAACACAAACAGCTACATACACATACGGAGACAGACACGCTCACAGGCTTCGAAGTTGACACATGACCGTAACTAACCAAATTACTTTATACTTGATCGAAGAGGCCATATATAGAGTGTATATATACCGCTTTTTAGGGATTCGCCGGTGGGTTTTCTTGACTCGTTAGCTTGAATTTTGTTGTGAGGATGATAACTTGCTCTGATGATTTTCGTCATATGACGGACAAGGCTTAGCACCTTTTCACTGGAATTGAAGGAGATTGTTTCGGAAACGGCGTCAGCATAAATGTTCCAATAAAGCTAATCGACAGCTGGTCACGAGGAATCCGCCGTCACTTTATGGTGGAATCGACATTTGAATCTCTTCACCAAACACTTTCACTCGAAATGGAAGTAAGCTCAACAATTATAAAACAAGAGATTCCTC